AGATAAATATCGAAGCCAATGGTTCTCGAACATCTGTAACATACAAGGGATTAGTAACAAGAGAGGAGACACAACAATATGCACAGTAAATAGATTAATAATATACACAGTAAATAAATCACAGTATAGAAATCAGAGTAAATAAATCAGAGTAAATGAATCACAGTACACAAGAAAATAAATATCGAAGCCAATGGTTCTCGAACATCTGTAACATACAAGAGATTAGTAACAAGAGAGGGGACACAACAATATATGCACAGTAAATAAATTGATGGTTGTCGAATGCCTGCAACAAACAATGGGTTAGTAACAAGAGAAAGGACGAGTATGAGACGCGCGCCCACCCTCCGCGACGGCTCACGAGAAAGTGAGGAAGCTAACGCCGTTATGCATTGGGCGTACGCAGGTTTGTTCGTGTTGAATTGTTTTTGCCGGCTTGAACGACCTTCCTTGAACGACCCAAACACCGGATGGTACAGCCAGGTACGGCTATGGTACACGGCGTACACGGCTATGTCAATAAACTGTGTGACGCAACGTTATTAGCGCGTTAGACCGACGGAGAGCACCGATACCGCGGCACGCTTTACCGTACTCTCTTGCTCGCACACCTCCCCCCATAGACCCCTGAAATTCCTCGGCACGCGTCAACACCGACGGAGAGCACCGATACTGTGGCTCGCTCTACCGCTCTCGTTTACTTATGATGTTCATATTCCCCAAATAAATATCATTTTTAACTAATTTGTTTAAGCGACATGTTCCTTTTAAAGATTTAGTTCTCCAGTATAAATTCCTAAGAACGTTATTTATTATTCATTTCATATCGTTAAATACGATTTTTCTCACAGGATACCGATGTCTATTACAGTATCGCAACATAATTGCAAATATGAAACTTCTTTACTTCTTCTTGAACATTCTAATTTCATAGCCCTAAACTGGGTACCTGAAAGTACTTCATTGAATTTGTGTAAAAGATTTTACTACTTCCTAAAAGACTCCGTGTGGTATTTGATAGCCTAGAAAACAATGTGCCGGACGAAGCAGACTACGCGGAAAAAAGAAGCTAAAGTAATAACTACTCGGTATACATTGCAATTATTTTACAATGTGTTTGCAGCCATTCGCTCGGTATTATCCTCGATTTACGAAAACTATCGAGGATATTACCGATTACCGGGTCTCACCACGTGGAGGTTGCTGCTAGTGAAGACCCAAGGAAGTTAGATGGAAACACAAGTTCCATCTATCCACCTTTTACAATAATCTTACAACTAACTTAAATACCTTAATATGCTTATGCTAACGATACTGAAATCCCTCGGCGGATGTCTTCTTTCTTGGGCTTACACTACTCTTACGTAGATGTATAATGATTATAGATTTAATCAAAATAAAACACAGTTAATTAAAATAAATTAAAGTAAAATACAATTAATAAAAATAAATTTAAATAAAACACAATTAATTAAAATAAGTTAAAATGAAGCACAATTAATTAAAATAAATCAAAATAAAAAACAAGTAATTAAAAGAAATCAAAACAAATCTGGGGCCCCCGAAGCATGGGACTGAAAATTACATTGCATGTTAGGTCTATTCTTATGTCTCGTCTGTGATACTACCATCTGCTGGTCAGTTTACTGTCTGTTGGTACAAAAGTTTTTTTAGCAACTTTACTAACGCCACAAGAAAAAATTTATAAATAATATACAACAAACATATTACATTTAAAGTCACTGCAGTAACACCAAATATTAATGCACGCATTCAGCAAAAGTAAATGTTTATATTTCTTAAACTTTCATACCACAAATAATAATTGTCACTTCAAGTGTCATAGTCGAATCTTTTCTTCATCTTCCAAAGGAAAGGGGAAATCCAAATTTTGTTTGAGTGTTCAATATAAATATCTTATTCATTAATTCATTCTTTGTTTTGTCTCAGCTGCAGTAGAAGCTACGTCGTCGCAGTCCTCGGAAGCTGACCTAGCATCTCCAAAGCACAGTTCCACTGATAGCGACAGTGACAGTACGTCAACCGAACTGTGCGACGAACCAGACCGCCTCAGCGACGTCGACAGCGAAGATCTTACGTCTGCGTCCGAGTCCTTAGTCATTGCGACGGATGAGGAGAAGACTTCTCGAGGAGAAGGTTCACCGATGCCGGCGAAGTCGCCTGGTCGTTCATCCCCTGAACAGAAAAGTGAACCAGCCGCTGTTGAAAGCATACAGGGCTCGACGACAGCCAAAGAAAATTTAAGCGACATGTCTATCGCTAAGATCACCGATCAGATACGACGATTGTCGGCGGAGGATGACAATAATTCCATGGTTCCTCAATCGTTCAGTGTGCGAAGCAAAAGTTCGCCGGACGATTGGTCAATGAATGCGTCCTCATTGGAAAAGGATAAATCTGCGCTCAATCTTTCCACAGACTACACGTCCGATAATAGTGTCAGAAAATCGTTGGGTTTAGACGAGTACGATTATTTAGCTTGTGGTAAAACTACGATTAACGTGAAAGAGGAGGAAGTGTTGGTGCATGAAAGACATCGGCCAAAGGAGTCTCCGAAAGATAGTGAGGATCCTCTGATGAGTCTGAAGGATCAGGTACAAAACACAAGTCCTACGATTACTCAACGACAGGACTCCGAAGCATTTTCGAAGTATTCGACGTCGTTAGATACGAAATATGAGAGAATTTGCGATATACCTACCCCGTTGGACACAAGGTGCGATAAAATGCCAGAGAATACTGATATCTTAGATTCAAAGTACAATAAAGTCGCGGACAAAACAGTTTCCTTAAATACAGAATATAGTGCAGGTGTGGAGAATACTACTTTGTTAGATACAATGTACAAGAAAATTGAAGACGAAACTACTGTATTAGACACGGAAGATGATAAAATGACGATGAATACTACGTCGTCGGATACAAAGTATAAAGGTATAGAAGACAAAACAACTCTATTGGATACAAAATACGATAGTACGACAGAGAATAGTGTGTCCTTAGGCGCGAAATACGATGAAGTTGCGAGTACAACAGTCGCTTTATGTACCAAATGTGATACAGTGACAGAGACAACTACTTCGTTATACACAAAGTACGATGATATGGCAGACAGGCCTATTCGGTTAGACGCAAAATACGATGAACTGGTGGAAAAACGTTCATCGCCACAAACAAAGTATGATCAGATCGCAGGCAAAGCTATTTCTTTAGATACCGGATACGATAAAATTTCAGGGAAAACTAGTTCGTCGGAGACAAAATATGATTCAATTTTGGACAAAACAGTTTCTTTAGATACAAAATACGGTAATATTACAGGGAAGATTGCTTCGTTGGATACAAGGTTGGATGAAATCGCAACGAGAACTTCTCCATTAGACTCAAAATTTGATAGAATTCTAGGAAAAGCTACATCGTTAGATACGAAATATAATGAAATCACGGACAGAACTAGTCTACCAGTTACAAAATATGATAAACTAACGGAGAAATTTACTTCATTGGAGGAAAAGTATAATGAAATCATGGACAGAGCAACTCCATCCGACAAAAAGTATGATCAAATACAAGGAAAATCTACTTCGTTCGATACAAAATATGATAATATCGTAGATAAATCGACTTCCTTTGACGCGAAGCAAGAGAAAATGACAGAAGAAGCTAGTTCATTAGACACAAAGTACGATCAAATCAAAGAAGAGACGACTTTTTTAGATATAAAAAATGGTAAAATCCCAGGTAAACCGATCCTCGACTTGAGATCAGAAAATGGCGACCGGTACAAGTCATCCTTCGACTTTTCTAGCAGAGTATCCTTAGACTCCAAGACATATGAAACATCAAAAATAGATTCTTCAGTCACAGATACATCGAATACAGTAACTATAGAAAGGAATCCTTACTGTAAAACGTACGTTGGCCATCTTCCAATCTCGCCAATAACAGTTGACCAGAAATTGAGTGAAGTGACATCAATGCATGGACCGGACAGTATTGTAAGACTGACTACGGAATCTACCAATTCTCAAGTATCTTTAGAGAAAACGTATTTCATCGATAGAATACAAGTTGCTCAGACGAAAACGTATTTAGATCTGAAGAAGAGCCCTAAGACACCGGAGAGTAATAAGTCTTTTAGCTCTGGGGAGACTATGGGCCCTGATTCAAAGCCTTCCAGCTCAACAGTAAGTCCAAGAACACCGATCAGGTCGGATTCAAGAGACTATCTGATGGATAAATCGGTCTGTTCGTCGGTGAGTTCAGATTCGAAAACTTTGGTCCTTCGTTCCGTGGACTCCGACGTCACCAAAGACAGCCTGAAAACAGATACGAAAAAGACTTTCGAGAAGTCCACCTCGTCGACCCCCATCAGTACCGATTCATTAAAGAACAAGTCAGAGACGAGCCCGAAGCTGATCGTCAGCAGCTCCAGCGAGTCGTGCAGTCCCGGTAAAATGAAGTCTTCCGAGAGGTCGTTTAGTTCGGACCTTCAGTCGCCAATTAGTGCCAACTCGATAAAGTATACCTCGAATTACAATAGACGGGGCCAGGACGACGTATCCGGCTCGCCGATGGACTTGAGCTCGGCCACGTCGCCATTCTATCCGATCTCGAATCCGAATCAGAAGACTCCGTCTCCGTACAGCGGGTCCAGACAAAGGTCCAGCTTGGACAGTACGGAGACGTCCCCAGAACAAAAATCCAGTAGCTCGAAAGAATCGAACAAGTACCTGGGTTACCAGACTAAGTTTGATTCCACTTTGAAGACCGACGTGAAAGACCTGGACAGCATGGCGAGGAAAAACGAAAGCTTCGTCGAACGTGAATTCAACTTGAGAAAAAGAGAATCAGGTGCGAACTTCAGCGAAAGGAGAAATGGTGACGATGATGTACATTTTTATCATTCCACTGGTAGCGATTACTATCGAAAAGATAAAGACTTCGATGACGGGATGGATGATCCCCTATCGGAGAAGGACGTGGTACCCTGTTTGCCGCAAGAGAAATTGGACAAACGTTATTTGAACTATAATTATCGGCACAGGGACAGGTCGAAGCAGCTTGAAAGAAGCTCGAGCAGTTTGGACAGCAGACGGTTCAGTGACATGAAGTCCTCGGCTTCTACGGACGAGTTCGCTGACTCGGTAGTTAAGAAACGATGCAGCGACATTCTGGAGGATATAAAACACTTGGAAGCAAAGGCGCACGATGGTTCATCAGATTCTGGAATGCTGACGAAGAAAAGCAGTTATATCTGGGAGGATATAAAGAGTCTGGAGGCGAGGAGGCAGGACACGTTCAGCGATTCCGCGAGCAACTTCTCGAAACGTCGTTTGGAGATACCTGACATAAGCGTGACTAGCGAAAGCAGGAAATCGTACGTTATTCATCCGAAGATCAACATCGACGAAAATCCCGACAGTATATTGAATACCGTGGCGCGTAGTCAGAACAGCGGCGACTCTGACGACGGCAGAGAGTCGAAGTTGGGCGTTTGGACCAAGGTGAAACCTCGCAGGAAGGGCAATAACGGCCGCAGAAATAGCGACAGAGCGTTGAAGATAATTCAAGAGAATTCTGTTATACTTCAGAAGATTCTTGCTTGCCAGGCGAAGAAACGATTGCCAGACCTGGAAGAGATCTCCAAAGAAATCACTATAAGTCCCATAAACGAGGAGATCTCGAAGATTTTTAGCCCGATTCTGGAGAAAATGGGGCTGAACGAGCACGAGATCAACGAGGAACTGGCGAGGATCAATTTCAAAGATTTCGACAATATGACAGCCACCAGCGTGTCCGAGTTCGATGCGAAAATCAACGAAGAACTGTCCAAACTCTCGTTGATCGACGATAACGAGCGAATCGATCACTTCGGTGTCGACCAAGTGATAGCTCACGAGTACCTGGACACTAGGGAGGCTCTGATAACGTTTTCTCATATAAATCGTCGAACGACTCTATAGACACCAGAAGCGAGTTGGGATCAACGCAGGAACCACCGGTACAAGTTGAGAAATTCTCACAATACACCGAGAAGGTGTTACCGTACAGCGTATCGAAATACAGAGAAGACGATTCGTCGCCTAAAAGCGACATAGATATATACAGGGAATTAGAGAAGCTCGATAAAATCTCTTCAGCCCAAGTCCTACCTGAACCAACGCTTGAACTCCCACAAAAGGAATTATCCTCGATTCCATACGCCCAAAGTACATCACCATTCAAGGACGTTCCACCGTTAAGATACACAACAAAACCAGTTCAATACGACACGTCGCCACTGAAAACCTCTTACGATCCCTACAAAACGTTCGACTTTAAGTCCAAGCTATCACCCAAACACGCGTCGAATAATCCATTCGTGACAGCTTCCTACGACAAACCCATCGTGGACACGACATTCGAGTACATCAACAACAAACCGGAAATATCCGCCAATACGTACGATTTACACCTGAAGAGTCCAATGATGACGAAAGAGTCGCTCGAGTTCCGTGTAAGATACGACGACGAGCCTACCAGGGACATTAGCACTGATTACATGTCCCTTCAGGCGGATAGATCACTAACCTCGAGCAAGTCTCCGTATTACAGTAACGGCAACAGCGAGCCATTGACACCTACAAAATACATACCCAAAGAAGAGAGGTGTTTAGACCCTACCACATCCTCTTTCTTAGAGTATACCGGTGAACCGTCGGATCTTCTCCGTTGCAAATACGACTCACTGTCACCAAAGGAGTATTCTCATGGAAAAAGTACAGAATACGATAGACAGCTGAGTACGTTGCCATCGTTAGAACCATCCTCCGATCTAGGATCATACTTACCGACAACACACATGAATTATCATCCTCTATCGCCGAATCGTCAGTTCCCTGATCAACGCTTCTCCTCCACCGACAATCATTACATCTCGAAACTGTCCCTTGGTTTGGCCGACGAGATCAAGCGGCCAGTTTCACATCCTGAGTTTCCGGGCAAGCTAACAACCGGAAAGTACATGGAACTGCCTGACAGAGGAGTGCCCAGCGGCTACCAGACGCCTTCTCTGAGTCTGGGCAACATCGGTCATTCGAGCAAAGCCCTCGAAAACAATTACAACACCGCGACCAGCCCGAAGACACAGTTCAGCCCGTTCCCTATCAGAAACGCTCCTCGGAAACCAAAGGAGCTGACACTGAAATTGGGTCTCTACTCGCAGAACTCAGAGACGGGACAATTGAAGAGGTCATAGTGCAAGATCATTCAAATGTGCTACTTCAGGTTCTACATAATTCAGGTGTTGATTCGTCGGACGATGAAAGAGTAACGTAAGGTAAAAATCGATGTTCGCCTGGCGATTAAATGGTTTCCCTTTTGAAGATACTGCAAGGAATCGATCACGCTGGCTTTAAATGACGACAACGTGGGCCTAAGCTATCGGTTCCGAACCGTGGAGCCGGTCGTTGCTATCGATCGGAGGCCACTTTTTTGATTTTCAACGCGTACTGTGTTATATATCGATGTACTGCTCGTACCAAAAGCATTTCGAATAACGTAACGGTTTTGAAGTCTGTTACGATGGATAGCGACTTCAGAACGTAACCGAACACAAGAATGTCGCTCAAGAAATTGAACGTTGAATACACAATTTTCACGTACTTGTCGCATACCTCCCCGTCTCCATAATCGTTAATCATTGACTCCGTTTTGTCTCCGAGTGTTTATAGTCTACGATCGTTGACTAATTAAAAGAAACGTTTCTTTTTCTACGAGCTATGCTTGAAACGACTTCACGAGAATCTCACCGCCTGTCTATCTCTATCTATCTCCTTCTCTGCCACAGGGGAGAAAGAAACGCCTGCGGAATGAAACGCTTAATGATCCACGCGGAACACGCATCTGCAATGTCTAATACGATGCCTTCGATCTCCCTCCAATCTCGCGATGAAAAACCCCTCGTTGTCGCGTCATGATTATTATTCATTGAACCACCGCGCCGACAAGTAGCTTCCGAAATGGGCACGGGAGGCTAGAACGAGAGCAAGATAGAGGAGATAGCGGTGGAAGAATAAAATAATAAAAGAAAAAACAGAAAGGAGACGAGAGTGAACGTTAGAAAATGCCTTCCATACCCACCCCGCGTGGCGGGGTTTTTCGTTTCGCCAACATGTGTGTGTGTGATCACGCATGCGATCGTAAATCGCGGTACGTATGCGCGATAACGTGAAATTTCCTCAGTGAAAGATACAATATTGTGACCGGGCGGAGAGATTGTACAAAAGATTATAGAAATCGTCGCGTAGGCGTGAGCCTCGCGATAGAGCTTAATTCGCCCCTGTTACGTTTCGCTACGAAAGCCTGAACTCTCTCGTGCAGGACCGTCGTTTTTCGTGGCGGATCGGGGAGAGGCACTGTATTACGAAACGTCAGGACACGAAAGGGGAGTGACAAACAAACAAAATTGTACATAACCACAGGGGGAAGGGGGAACGTTGATTGTATATTAAGCAACACACACATACACACCACAGAAAACTTTGAAGAGTCGCTCCGAGATCTTTTTATATTAAATAAAACGTAGTATTTTTAGATGTTTCTAATAAAAGATTAATCCTCGTGTTGTCGCCGTCGTTAACGCGTGGCCGTTTGAGCCTAGCCGAGCTGTACGCTTGAAGATTTAAACGTCTTTGCTGATTCTTCTATTCTGGCCTGGATCGGAAATATACGCGCAATAATCGTGGTTAATTACGAGAAGCTGTTTTCATTGGACTTATGTCGCTTGAAGGACCGGTGGCGGGCGATGCTTATGTCTAGTATGCACTTGGGAATAGGAATTTAATTTCAATTATGACGGGTTTCCGAGTCTACTATATTAGCGTGATCTATGATTAAAGATGAAACAAAAATGTACAAGAAATCAATTAGCCAAAAATTCGATATTTCAATATTTCCAAATTAAACTGTATTTACAAGATATTTTTGTATTTAATGTTTAAGCCTAGAATACATTGATGTGGAAAGATTCGTTAATACGCATTCATTGATCGTTCTTATTAACAAAGGGGAAAAGGAAAGAAGAAACGAATGACACTTTTACGTGTAATTCTTTTTATATTATGTACACAATAGCTGAACAGATTCGTGAGAGTGTATTCAAGACTAGTTCCAAGTGTGTACATGGCATAAGTAAACAATATCCTTTGTCACTTTTTATGTCCTGTTACTATAATACTTAAATTCTTAAAAGCGGTGTGAAAGCAGATTTACAAAAAATGTTATTTTATTGAGCGAAATCTGAGATATCAACAATTCATTTAATCCGATTCTCCTAGAATAACTCATTCGTAATTCATTTCGATTGGCTTGCATAGTGAGTAGGTGAACCATTACGTCCAATTTATCCATCGATTGCAGGTAGACACGTCAATTCGCGATTCGACTCGTGAACATTTTTATACGCACTGTTCAAATCTGTGAGACAGTCCTATACGTTTCGTAGAGGAATCACAAACCGACGACAAAATTGCCAAAGTAGCTGCGTTCATGTGCCTCTAGTCACTTTTGAAAAGTATCGAAAATTTCACGAAATCGGGATGTTCAGTACGTGTTATAATTGAAATGAAATTAATGACATGCTCAAGGTCACATTTGAAGCAGTTAATAAATTGAAAAAATCAGTTCATATTTCAATTTTATAATTGGCAAGCGAATCTTCACCCAAATTTGTGAAAGAAAGTGAAAAATAGTAGAAGTAATGGGATTCGATAGATCTCCGTGAGTAAGTTTGAGCGATCAATTTATTTTGTTCCGATTGGCGAGAAATCAGTAAAGGAACCCTGCGCATAAATTCTTAATGTCATTGTAGCTCATGTGTCACAGTGTCGGGGAGAATATTCAGAATTGTGCATCTGACGGAGATTCTCTATGTATTTGCACTGGCTTCTACGCACTTGCTAACACACCCGTAAAGAAACATTGAAAAATGCAGTTTCCATGAACGTCAGATACATGGGTCCCAGCACTCGAAGCTTCTTGCAATAACTTTGCATTCGTCTGAGTAATGTACCTTGTCTCTCGCGTAAGAAATCGCGGTAAAAGATGAAAATATTCGAACAGGGATACGTGAACGTGTACGTTTAATATTCATCGTTCGATTTATATAGACATAATATTCGTCAAATATCCATTCTTGTTTCTTGTAATGAGGTAACATCTTTACGCTAAGTAATGAATAGTAATTTTCGGAAGTACAAAGTGAAACAGTATCCTGATTTTTAATAATTGACAAATATGACTTATAAATTCTTCCTACATGTACATGTATTTTGGAATGTAGAGTATTAAGATACTACCAGTTTCATGGAAGTTTCGTATATTTGCCATACACACGATATATCTAAAACTGGAATTTGAACTTAAAGAATTATCTTAATTGGTACAGTGGGAGAAAAATATTATGAACAAACGTCTACATATATTTCGTTACCAAGTGACAATATTTCAGTATTTTTGAATAAAACATTCAAAATAGCTTCCTCGAGAAAAAAGCGTTGCCTCGTAGATTACCAACCAATTATTCTCTTTACTGTTACAAATTGTTTATAATTATTGTTTCATCATATCACTTCAATTAAGGTATTGTGAGTCCTTAACACCACGCTTACAAGACTTTCTTCTTGATTTTGCCTCGTCAATCATTTCAAGGCGAGCGGTGAATAATGGAATTTCCCGTATACATATATTCAATTACTCATTACAAGAGACAAGGAACAGTCTGTTTTCTTCGTAAGTGATATAATCAGAAAACGATGAATCTATATGCACCGCTGTCCGAATATCGTTCTTACCGTGGGTCGGTCTGGGGACGTCGATCGAAATATATATTTTCCTGGCGAACGGGAGACGAAAGGACGGAGGAATCGCCGTTGGATTCGCCGTCACGTTCTTCCGCTGACGTGCGGCCAAATTCAGTGAACCGAAACGTTCGGTTCAGAAGCCTGTGAGGAATAGAAAGTATTCGTAAAGGTGCTTTAACGAGGCATTGGCGCGTTAAACTAAACAAAGGTGAAACTATCTAGGATGTAGGTAGTCGATAAGAGATCGATAATAGCGTTGTTCGTTGTGTCTTGTGAAAGAACATGTCTTTTTTTCTTTTTCTTTGTTCCCTCCGAGAACGGAGAAAGAATATTATTATTATATAACGAATACCCGGAATCCAAGTCTCGACGCTCTCGGTTCAAACGGATCTTTCGCGAATTCAGTTCGTTTCGTTTCGAAGCGAAACTTTTCGTTTCGATTACAAGTTATTGTCCGACAATACTACATGTTCTCTGCTCGTTTGTATTTCCGTTCGTTCTCTTCGACAAGCCTCCACGCGATTGTTGTACATTCGATTCGGGAGATCACGCGTGGGGACGGAGTTCTTTTTCTACGGAGATGATCGAAATGTGGTTAATAATAATTAAGGGAAAAAACGCGGAGGGTGTTTGAGTGTGCGTCGTCCGTCAGCGACGATCGTTGCGGACGTTCAGTCGCGACGAGGGGCGCACGCGAATCCTATGAAAGATGTCGTTTACAAAGAACAGTTATATTTACAAAACAAAAAACGGGTGTGCATGAGATTGTTACGTGACGTTCTGTGAGAGTTGTTGTAAATACCTGTCGGTACGAGTCATGCCAGATATAAGACTGTATATTTGAAGAATATAGAACTATAAGTCGTTATGAATAAATAAACTGGACAAATATATTGAGAGTGAACGGTGTGGTTTAAATGTTTCGTTGATTATGATCTTACGTGTTGGGAACCCGAAAAATCCTTCCAAACAGTAAATACCATTTAAATAGATTTTATTTCGGAAGTTGGACGGACAATTTTCGTTCATTACGATGTTCGTACGGTAGGCAGAGTTATAATTTTGTAATTTTGTTCGTTTAAATTCAGATTACTTCAGTGTAGTTTTGAAGTAGTCAGTTTCAAGAGTCCAGAAGCTTTAAAATATGTACATATAGATGTTCGATAACTGAAGCGTTTCAGTTCACAGATCAGAAAATTTCCAATTCTATCTACTAGATTTTCAGATATCCCTACGCTTTAAAATCCCTGTACTTCACAGTGCACGTAGGTTACGAGTGCACGAGTTCAATGGACTTTTGTTGAACTTGCACAATTTCGGTTACGCGAAGTTTCCAATCCTTCAAAGATAAAGGGCCACGTATACCCAAAGCATCGGAGAATGTGTCTTCAATTTC